GCATAGCGATGTGTAATCATGTTGTCATCCATCACTGCAAGCAGAGGTCGGTGGAGACTGACACTCTTATCCAGGCCATCGAATCCAGACTGCTCTACTGATCCTGGTGGGGACACACTTATCCAGGCCATCGAATCCAGACTGCTCCACTGATCCTGGTGAGGTATCATGACCCATGGTTTCCCAGATTGTGACTGATCATTGACAGGCTGTGTTTGACTGTTATGTCTTGAAATGGTTTTGAATATCACAGATTCTGAAGCAAGCCACAGTGTGCTAGATAAGTCCAGCTTCCAACATGCAGTACCTATGGCAGTAATATCTTTTTCTCATGATAAGACAGGACATATTACTCCCTCTTTGTGCTGCTTTCTTGATTTTTGCCAGATTTCATATTCAGAAGATTTAATCGGCTTATCACATGGGCTAATCAACTCTCTCACTAATAAGGTGAATTAGTACTTAAGCAACAGTCAAACGTTACTTGGCGTATCATGATCAGTCATGAATAATCGATTAATCCAAATCACACCAAACACTTCAAATCAATATTCAGACTCACTCCAAGCCATTTATTTTTAAACATATACATGTATGAAGTGATACATTTGTTATAAACTGATATATAAAAAAGAGGAACAAAAGCGGCAAAATAATGGAATAATTCTGACAAAATCAGTTTCCTTGCTAACATTTTCATTCCGATCATGGTTCAGGTAAAGCATTTGTAGAAAATGTGATTTTCAGCAAAGGAGCTGTAGAATAATTAAAGAATACTGTCAAGTCACACTATCATGAGCAATTATGTGTCTCTTTTGCTGTGAAATTGCTTTGCTTTTGAACAAGCACAGTTAGCTGATAGTGTGTTTCAGAAACAATCCTATAAAATGAATATCTAACTGATTTTGTATGGGTTAGCGATTGTGACAGCAGGGTCAGTGAAGCGGGACTCGCATAAGACAAATGTACTGCCTTATGGTTTGGAATGACAGAGCAGATTTATCTGGCTCAGTACTGCCATCAAGTGCTGCTGTTTGATTTAACACATAGTACACATCTGAACTTGATATGTTATCCCTTACAAGCATCATCCCTGCAAATTTGCAGGTTTTCAAATGACTATATTCTATGTAGGGTTAATATTCATGGATAATTGCTACCTCTGTTATACAATACAACACAGTGGACTACCCTAAGACATGAAACAAGAGGAACTGAGACTGCACCATTCTGAGAAAATTTAAAAGGAATACAAATGCATGAACACTATCATTTAAATGTATATGTGACCATATTTAAAGTTATCGAACACAAGGTTTTATTTAAAATACCATATGCAATATTAATGATAAGAACAAAAGTAATAAAAACAAAAAAGTCACTGCAGGTTTACTCTGTTTATATACAGTGAGGTATTTCACAACTTCATGGCATGAAATGTCTTCCTGACTGTTTTTCAGCATTCTTTACTAAAACAAAATAAATAGGTAACTCAGATATGAAAATCTGTATTGTGGGAATAATTGAACTAAATCTAAAATTACAATTATTTGTGATGTTCATTTTATTTTGTAATACATTTTTGCTTTGGATAATTATGACTAGACAAGATCAGGTTTAAAAGTAGGCAAAAGTTATGTTGTGTGTTATGACTACTTTTCTGCTGTCTTTTTCACAACATAAATCTATGGAATTGTTTATTAAAATAACTTCATTTGTGTCTATGGGGGAAGTTGAAATCCACTGTGATAAGTATTTGCAAACTCCAAAAAGTGGACATTCTTGGCCAGACCCATCCTGGAATTTTGTCTTCCTTTAAGTGGTTATTTACTCTAATTAGCATTTTCACCTACATCCTGTTTGTTTCTGAATTGTTAGTCAATTGTAGTACATACTGTAGCCTTTTAGATTTATCGATGTGTACAGTTAGAAACTTGTCAATTAGATTTGATCTGTAAAAGTGATGGATTAGCCACTACAATACTTTATATTGGCTAGGCTTATATACTGTAGCATACCTTGAGTTGATGTGAAAAAGTTTTTGAAGGTCAAATTGAATTAAACATTGCTGAATTTTCTCACCTATACAGAGCTGTGTTAATAGCCATCAAAATTGTAGTAGTAGTGGAAAACATTAGTAGAGTACATTAAATATGTCCAAGATGTTTACATAGTAGTGTCAGTGTATGCTGTACGTATGTATGGTGTGCCAAGGTAAATCTTGAAATTATGAATGTTTTTTAAGAACATGATAATTTTCTAGGGGATATTTTTATTGAGGCAGGTAATAGGATTTCATATTTTGTTAAGCATCCAGGCACTGCCAATACCCTGAATGCCTTACTGTCCAAACATTGCTCGATAGTGGCACTCCCAGTCTTGTTCCACTAAAAGCTTGTCAATCTGTTTGAGGAACAAGTAATAGGTTTATTCCATGCTGAAAAAAAGAAGAAAGAGAACACAACGTTTTGGCCGTGGAGCCTTCTTCACCTGAAGAAGGCTCCATGGCCGAAACGTTGTTCTCTTTCTTCTTTTTTTCAATAAAGAGGCTCCACGGCCGAAACGTTGTTCTCTTTCTTCTTTTTTTCAGCATGGAATAAACCTATTACTTGTTCATTTGCAGCCTACGCATGCTGACGCAGCTACCCAATCTGTTTGAGGTCTGACATAAAAGAATATTTATGTGATTGTTTACTCAAATTTATCCTTAAATGTTTAGTTGGCTTTAGGTCAGTGCAGCTGAGAAGGTGGTAATTTAACTATGCCAATTGTCTGTTTATCATTGCATTGAGTGAAATGTTTCCTTCTGTTTTGCTAACCGTGCTGCTTCTTTTAGTCATTATCCAATTCTTCAGCCTGATAAGGCTGTTCCTGTTGCTTTATGTAGCACATAAGAGAGCTTTTAAGTCTTCTATTCATTATCTTATAGAGACAGGCTCTAAATGCTTGACCAAATGAACTGTTTTCATTTTTTAAATTACTGTTGTGAATACTTGTGTACAAGTTGGGTTCTTTAACTTCGGCTAAATCCAGGACAATTTATTTATGGCTAAATCCAATTCAGGATTGCACAGTCTGACCTGCCAAACCCCCTCTTCTGATTTAACTGGTGAAGAGATTTGTTGATCTCTCTACACTTTTTTTTTAAATTGGGACAGAACTCAGTATGCAAGAAAGACTCTCTTCTCATTTGTAATATCACCCATTTCTTGTGCTGTACAACTGCAGCCTTGAAGTGTTCTGCCCTTTTGTGTTCCCCTTGTTTTTGGCATCATCCCACTGCTGAGAAATGCACATTCAGGAAATTCTACAGTAACAATCACCATTACTGAAAAAATAAACATTTGTTTTGTAAATGGATCTTTGAATGTCATGGTACACTTACATTTAGCCTCGTAAAGGTCTTGGAATTAATTTAATTAGATGGAAAATCTACCATTTTTAGAAAAGCTTTGCATTTAACATCTTAATAAGGGTTTACATTTTAAAAACTTGTGTGAATAGTGTGAATGTTCCCAGTTTCCCTACAGCTGATGGGATTTGAAGGTTAATATATATATATACTGTACTGCAGCAAATGCTAGTGTTTCAACGTACAAAGCCCATCCTGTCCATTACACTCTCTGAAAACTAGCTAGGAGGCAGTTTAAGATAGATTAGCGTTACAGGGAGGAGAAACAAAGTTTAAACTCTACCCAGGAGAAGATCAAGTAGCCTGATGACAAAACAGCAAAGCACTGACATGTCAGAGGTTCTGCAGATACAAACAACTGAATTTTAGTACAATTAAGTATTAATTTGTACTCCTGTCAAAAGCAGCCAGAAGAACCCTATATAATCATTAGATAAACACATATAATGAATCAATATGATGTGAAAAAACCTTTGAAGCCAAGATAAACCTTCATTTAGGGTGATGTAACCAGTGCACTCTATGCGGAAACATATCTGTGTCAAATAACCTTAAATTTGCGTTTTGATGCAAGGAACTGTCAGTTCAACACATTCATGGTGAAACTAGCCCACAAAAAAACGGGTCAGAAAGTGACTCTTAATCTGTAGGTGCTTGACACAAAGTATAGTCTTGACATTGGAGGACTTCTTCCAACTGTTTGGAGATGTTTGTAGATGGAGACAGTGGAGTTGAGCAGAATCAACCACAGAAGCAAATGACTGGGTGCTCCACATAGCAAATGCAAAACCAGGGTACCGCTGCCAAGCTTATTCCAGCCACCGGAAATTGTTTCCACATGGGGGGGATCTAGAAACAGGCTAGAATAACCTGCAACACTGTAAATGTGATTCATCCAATTCCAACGCCGATTACCCATATTAGTCAGAACGACTGCAACAGCGTCACCCTAATAAAATTGTATCATTTTAAATTTGCAGTTTCTGCATTATTTTTGCCATTTACTACAATTTGCTAGCGTTTCGCTCTCCATCTGTCCACTTTTGTCATAATTTCAACATGCCTCATTACTCTTTTGTGTGCATCATCATAAGAAAAAACTACAGCCTGATACACTAAAACCTAACATTAATTTAATTAATTTAAACCTTTGGTTTAAATATTGCACCACTAGGCTGAGACAATTTGTATGCAGTTACTCTTACCAATTTATTACTATAATCAATAGAATAGAATTTTGAGGAGTTTCATTAAGAATAATTTGCTGTTTGACTTTTCAGCTTTAGCTTCAGACCCAAAGGTTTAGTATCTGTTTGGATGTGTAAAAGGCGAGGTCACTGATCTGAAATCACAGGTGCTGATCACAAGAAGCATTAAAGAGTGGACCCTGCTCTTTACTGTACCTCCACTGTAAGTACATCATGCCATCTGCACCTAGCTGCTAGCTGAATATTTTTACAGCTACTCTTCCTTTACACTTTAAAGTATCACAAAACAATTAAGCAATCAAAGGTGTACATTTTAGAGTAGCTACGTACTCTAATTTACTAGATGAGGACTGAGGGATCTTTAAATGCAGTCTCAACACACAAAGTCACAACTTGGACCTTTAACTGAGATTTTTATTTGTTTTAAAATAATTCATACAAATGGATACAGTCACAAACATGTTTTTGTTTTGTCTTTCTTGACCAAAAAATATTGCTAGCCTACCACTTTACCAGGAGGGAACCGATGTAGGCAATGAAATGCTGCTACCTTTCAGTAGTCTAGTGCTGTTTCTTGGACGCATTACCACCGATGGAGCACACTTAAACAGGTGATACAAGCATAGTGCCAGATTGGTACGAGACATCATTTATTTCCCCCAAATTATTTTGTCTTTAACAGCTTAATCCAGAAGTTAAAACTTAGGGAATCCATGTCCCCACCAAAACAGAAACTAAAACATAAACAAAAGTGATTTTTTGTTTCTTCTAAATTATTCTAAAAAAATAAGACAAGCAGGTACAAAAACAATGCACTGTGTGGCATATAAAGGAAAAGACGAGGGAAAAAATTTAATTTCCTGAGAAAGTTTGCAAAACTGCCTCTTTTTGGGCGTTGAAACATATAAAAACAAAGATTTGTTGTTATTGTTGTCTTTAAAATCAGGTGGTTGAACGCCTACCTTTTTGTGTTTTTTTTCTGTTTGACCGCTAAGCAAACAAACCCTTTTAATGTTCTAAAAACTGTACACAGACAGATTACATTCATGATATAATTAACTACTCTTGCTTAACAAGGAACCCATAGGACACAGAAACAGTTAAATCAGTCCACTGGACAGGGACAAACTACAATTTATACGGAGGATTTTTTTTTTCCTTTCATTTCAATTCCAAATCCAAATCTTTTCTTCTCCCGCACAAAAAAAAAATGTTTAAAAGATAAACTTCGCCATAATATCGTTGGACCAGTTTCTAAAATCTCGACTCCCATTAGTTCATGGTTTCGTCGCTGCTGCCTGTAACCCAGGTATTTCCCGCTTCTCTGCAATGAGGGGAGTGCTCTGTGACAGAACAGGGAGGCTTCACGGGGCTACAATTGATCACTGGGGTGCTGCTCTCTGTCGGCTTCCGGCTTGCCTGTCTGGCCAGGGGAGGGGGCGTGGGGAGGGTGGGCTACGGTGGGCAGGCCGTGTGATAAAGGCATCGCACTAGGAACGATTCCTTCAACGGCTGAAGGGAGGCCCCCAGGGGCCAAACTCACAACACCAGGAGGGTACCTGTGTCCAAGGGAGGGAGGGGAAGAAGGAAAATAGAAAACAGAAAATAACACATCAGGTCAGAACTCCTCGACACCAGGGAGATCATCAAAGTTATCTCTTGGAAATATGTTCATCTGTCGCTAGCCTGTTATGACTAACAAATTTGTTTTTAAGCATATGCCTTGTGATTAGAGTGCTATTGTTTGAAACTAGCTCAGTATAAAAAAGTGTTTCAAAACACATTCCTGTGGCCTGAATGTTCCTTTGGACACGTTTGCAAACAATTTGCAAATAATGAGAAAATGTTATAATTTTACACTCTTGGCATGGAAAAATAGTCATCAAGAGTTCACAATAAAATAGCTAACAACAAAATATTTACGTATAGAAAATAAGAATCGGATTACAGATCCTTTTTTCCAAAAACAAACATTAAAAGTATGCAGTCAATTACTCTGCATATCAGTATGTAGGAGACAGTATTATAGCAGGACACTGCATAGTGCCGTATTAAAATTATTTCCAGACTGTCCATTCCAGGAATTAACTTTGATATGTCTTTGTCTGAAAATAGAAAGTACTAAAAAGTAGTTATGTACTAGGGCCTATATGTAATTAGAAAAAAAGAGTAGCACCAGTGACTTACACATTGTACTGCACAACATATTAGTAGTAGCAACACAAGTAAGAAATGGTATATATACTATTGGTTTTTAAAGTGAAATTTTCCAATTCATTATCAATACTGAAGAAAAGACTTGTACCTACAGTCTGATGAGAAAACTGTTCTGTCCAAAGATTTTTTTCACATTTTGAAAAATTAAAAAAGTGACCCAACTTGCTACTTGAAAAAAATCAGCCCTTTGCCCCTGTTTTTGCAATTTAAAATCAATGTAAGATAATTTATATGGAAATATCAAGGGAATTCTATTATGCTTTTGCGTTTGACATGTCCCAGTGTCTTCTGAGGGCAAAATTTACCCTTATGGGCACTCTGTACATTTTTAGTACCTAGTGCACGGAGCCTACCCCCAAAGAAAGAATTAAAAAAATATTTTCTCTTTATTTGTATGTTTTGCAAACTTTTATCCAGTTTCATATGCAGAACACAAACGTGTTTCTGTGTATACATCTATTCTATAGAGCACAAACATTTAAAAACACAAACACAGAATTTTCTAATGTCTACTTTTGTCTATTTTAGAAATCAACAGTTACCGTGGACTTAAGCATGTCTCCTATCTTTTTAAATGGCTCAAAAGTAGCTGCCAGCTGCCTGGCAGTAAATTGTTCACATGTGTTGAATGTGTATGCAGTCCACTGGAAGAATATTTCCAGCTTGTTTTATATGAAGCATTAAAAAGAGATCTCCATGCAAAATGCTGTTAAAGGCAGTTACTGCTGAAACATGTTTTTATTTAAAAAATCTAGTGAAAGGAAAATAAAATGCAATAAAAGTTTTATGATTGACCTCTTGGTAGCAATTGTCTGTTCAATAGTGAAAATGTAAAACAAATGTAGTTTAATCTAGCTACTAGGATGGAAATATATGCAATAGACATTTTATGGATATCATTTATTATATCAATTTGTGCACATCTTTACAGAGGATTTAACTGCTTTTTTTCCCCAACTACAGTGTCTTACATTGCAAGCATTTTTTATTTCAAACATGGGTCCCATACGTGTACTATGAAAATCAGTGAAAACAAATTCCTCATTTTTGTAATTCAAGCTATTAGTTTTGTTTGTTTTTTACCTTTCTGTATTTGGACTGAAACACACACATTTCTGATGAGCATGGATTAAATCCCAGCATGGTCGCTCATCCTTAAGTTTTGTACCACAGCTTGAATGTGACTAAGGAATCAAATGGAAATAACAATATTTAAAATTTTCCCTTGCCACAGCTTACAGGTATTATTAACAGTTCTGATCTGAGTTTACATAGATTCTTATTTACACAGCTGAAAGCAATTCATTCTGATATTCCAGAAAAAAAGCCAATGGGTTACCAAGGATACTGGGGAGTGAAAGTCAGAAATCCAGGCAGCCAGCTTTATATAGTGGAATGCAGAACGAAGTCATTGTTTCAGTGCATTCTCAGCTTCAATTAAATGGCTATATAGTGATTTTTCATAGCATAAAACAGTTTTCCTAGTGTATGATTTTTCCCACTCCTAAGCTTTCATATTCGTGATGCAGATTTTGTTATTCCTTTGAATCCTGTATGAATCTCAACCTACAGATAAGCTCTTGCTGACAGCACATATAACAATTATCTTCGAAAGTACTTTCTTGCAATATCCACAGTGGATATGTGTCTGGCAGTGCTTTAGTTATCCTGCTAACTTCTTCAAATACTACAAAATGCACAAGGCTCTCATTTTCTGATGTGTCTCGGCTACAGTGTGAAGCTATTGAGCATGCCTAATTGGGTAATGAATGCTATTGCGTGCTTCACAGGTTTAAAATCTCAAGGATATAAAAAAATGCATAGAAAAATAAAAATGCATTCAGCAAAATTCAGTTGAGAAATGTTCTCCTCTCACTAAAATTAGTTTCTCATTGACATGGAATAAGGAATGTAATTGCTCATTGCACCAGCTGGATTACAGCATGGAATATTGTAAAATAAAATGGTTTAAGGTAGTCAATATACAACACTGAATTTACAAATATAAGTATAATTAAAAAAATAATGGCTAGTAAAATACAATTACAACCTTCTGGAATAGAAAATTATTAACAGAATATGAACAATTTTTATTTCTGTCCCACCTGACAAAATGTATTTTATATAAACACAATTTGTGAAAATGTACAATATATGTCTTTATCAGTATAAGACAGCACAATTACAAAATAATTCAGCACACAACAGATCACTTTTTGCATTAAATAATATGAGCATGCTTTAAAGTAAATAGAAATCCCAAACTGTTAACTGAGGACAACATTGCTTATTACATATTCAATGGACTAGATTATATGTCAGCTCTTCTGACACGCTGCATTCCTTATGGATTCCATGCTGTTTATTCTTGCTTGTCTGCCTACCTGCCTTTTTCCTTCAGTTTGCTTTACTTTTTTTTGAAAACATGTCAAACACCAAACTGCCAGGAAGCACACAGGGGAAGCACATCAACATCACACCAGGCCTTTTTACTGTTACGAATAGTAGTTCAACACTGATACCGTTCCCTGTTCAACTGGGATATGTCTTTGCAGTTCGTCATGTGACTTATCGAGCCTGGCGAATCATAATGCAAGCATAAACAAAATCAGAGCAGATTTACCTTGGATGAAATGAGTAACAGAAAGCATGGTTATAACTTACTCTTTTCAAGCACAAGGATGATTATATAATGCTAAAACTACGTATTTGAATTTCCTGTGGTTATCAGAGTTATACTGCTGTTATCTGTCAAAGCCTCACTTGCACCTTGAAATGCAATCTGATAATGAAATCTAGGGTTTCTGACGTAGAAACAGAAGATCTGGTATGTTTTGCTGTCAGTTGCTGATGTTATCTCAAACCTCAGGACAGCAGTGAAGCGTTGCCTTAAGATGCAATAAACTACATATCAAATGGCCTCTTCACGCCATGTGTACTTATCCTCTGCCTGAGGAGGGTTCATTCACTTAAGAACAGGACAGTGAAGTGGCTTTTGATGTATTTCATATCAAAACAATGCAGTTTTTCTGATTAAAGCCTTGTGAAGTAAGCAATCGTGCTTTATACGTTACAAGGTCATATGTAAACTGTGTACTTTGTATGGTGAAGTGATCCTGTCATATGATATTGATACAGGATGCTCATAAAATACAGACTTTTAAAAAAATACACATCACACATCATGCAGTGTAAGTCCTAACGGAGCATTACCTTCTACTTCAGCAAGATTTAATAGACATATTACATTTTTGAGAGTGAGGATCTGTGCAGCATAAGCACAGTTGTCTTTGCAATTATACTCCCCATCACCAGTTGTGTGTTAATCTCAGCCTTTGAGTAAAGCACTAAAATACAGATACGAGAAAGCAGATGCAGGGCTAAATGCTAAACAGCACTTTCTATGTAATAATAAAGTGGTAGCGAGCTAGTCTGGATACCAGGGGATCTGCTACTGCAGTGCTGCATGACCAGGTTTTAGATTTGTGTCACGGATGCTCCCGTTCACTTTAAATGAAAACCTAAAAGAATCTGGAACAGAAGGCACATGGCCAAGCAGAGGAGCTTTACCTGTATGCGCCATTGAGCTCTGGGTGTACAACTGTAGGGTCCATGCTGGCCCAGTGTGTGGCCTGAGTCAGATAGTCTTTATTGACACAATTCTTCAGGCTGTCTGGAATGCGACCTGATTTGGGAGAAGGAATAAGACTTTGATTTGGTCAACAACACCCAGAATTTCAATATATAGCAAAAAAGAGTCCTGTTCCGTCCCTCAATATTAGTTTTGAAAAGCGCGTAATTAACCCGGTAATAGAAGCTAACGAGACATTACTGCTTGCAAATTTGACACGAGCCAAGTTGGACGTTTTTCAAATTGGATAAGCAGGTACTGAAAAAAAACATCTGATGGGATCGCATCACCAGAAAAATACATGCCACATTATAGCTTTCTTATAAAACTGCATATCTGCAAACAGGAAAAAAAAACATACTCCATCGCAGTCCAACAAATCATTGCAGATCAACTACAAATAAACTGAAGAGCACACCCTTCTACCAAAACCTCAATTTGGGCAGTGCAGCTTCTTCCTATCCTTGCCAGGAATATGTCTCGCACCAGCAGTCTGCTGTAATTCAATCTGCAACACTGCTGACTGGTTCTTCCAGAAGAGTATTTTATGTTTTTTTATATCATTTAAATGTTACTTTCCATGGTGTTCTGGTGTGGAAAAAGAAATGTCCTCCTGGATTACAAACACTCAAGTCGTTTTGTTATTCTGCTGTTTCACATTCCTGCACACATTTCAATAACTTGCAGAAAAGAACAGAACATTTTAATATCCAATAGATGCCACACTTGAATGATTTTTCTGCACATATTTATGTATACCGCCATTATTTGTTATTGTTGTAATTATTTAAACCTTTCACATTGACTATACTAGTATAAGCTTTTGTGTAATGCAAACACTGGTTATAAGATCCCAAAATAAACTTAAATACAGTTCTCATGTGCCAGAAAATGTGATATTATAAAGTCTGAAATGCAGAAGTAAGTCCACAATTATTGTTTCCTTCTCTTAAATCTCTTTTTCTTTAAGTTCAGAGCAACGTGTGATATGTCTGGTTCGTTTAATATGATCAAGAGTTTCATGCAAAGAAACTGTAGGTTTAACTTAACCTAGAATTACTTCTACCTCCCAGTGTAGAAAACACTAGGCGAGACAGGCAGTTAAGCAACTATCACCAGTATTAACAAGACCTTCAACTCACCTGTAACAGCCCTGCGAATCTCCCTGGCTGCCTCTTCTCTCATTTCTATGGAGGCCTGTTCACTGTACCAGGCAGCATGGGGAGTACAGATCAGGTTTGGGGCATCTTTCAGAGGGCCTTGGCTGAAACTGAAAGGGAAAAAGTAATTTGACGGGACTGCGCACACACACAATACTTTTTATCACGAAGAAGCAGAGGACTACTGTATGTGCACTCTTCTTACAATGCCGGGTCTTTCATAAGAGCAGTTGCTCTGCAGAGGAGAGGTGCACTTTACTAAGTGGTGATCATGATGCCATTATAACTTGGTGTTGCCGACGGCATCATTTTTATCCTATAATTATTACGTGAGGGTATTGCTGTGTTAACGGGAAAAGCTCTAACACTCATACTTCACATACCATAGTGCATTTTAGAAAAAAAGAATAACTGCCGCCAAAATCAACTAGACGTTTACTGGCCTCCACATGCATTCAAATTGAAATTGTAACATCCATAGTAAATCAACATTTTTACTACTTTTAATTGCAGCTCTCTGAACACATCATGGTGCTAAAAACAAGTGAAGATGAGAAAATAGCAAAGTGTTGAAGCGAACAAAATTAGCTCAGAGACTTGCCTCCACTTGCTCTCATGAGGTGAATGATTAACATGGAAATGGTAACCACCACACATTTTTCTCCCGGATATTTCAACGATTCAATGGATTCACTTTCAATTGCAGTTTTTTTTTTAGTTGTTCTCTTAGAAAAGGGCTCAGTGCCGAAATAGCTCTTTCCTGTTAATTCTTGCTGAAACGTCTCAAAATACATCCTACGCACTCTCACTATAGGCTAGCCTGTATTACATGTGTCTTCCTGCTACATGCACAAGTTTTTAACAACTTTGTTTTTACATTTTAAGGTAATGTGATGTGTTCCAGCAACCAGGATATCAAGTGTGGTCCACCCAGGAAAGACCTATAGCAATCCCACAGTGCTTACGCACTTAAGCTTCAAAAGCATGCTAGAAAATGATCAGGCACGAGGGGGTAGACAAGCAACTTCAAGGTGTTCAGATGAAGATGAGAGGGGAGATCAAAATACAAAGAAGCCAGGGTTTGCAGGCCTGGGACTCCCCTTAATCTAAAGCTGTAAAGGACACTGGAAGTTAACGGCTGTTCCGATGATTACGACACCAGATGTGAAAGATCACCTGAAGGGCTCTGTTTCGTGAACATCCAGTGCTGCCCCTCGTATCCTTCCTTCTTTCAGAGCTTGAGCAAGAGCCTTCTCATCGACCAGGCCTCCCCGAGCTGTGTTCACCAGGAATGCACCCTGTCGCATCTGCACAAAAGACAAAACGGTAAGAAACATTGTGCCACACAACACCTACTGTACTCCTTCCAAGTGGAAATACCCCAAACTCAGCATACTAGGCCAAAAGTGCAAAACACCACACACACAGCATCATATATAGTTACTATATTGTTGCAACTGCCCTTTTGTCTTTTGATTTGATTTTTTTTCATATTTGAAGTGTTGATCATGTAATGATCACACTTTATTCAGGAAGGAGCTTACTACAGTGATAGCTTGTTGATCAAAATCCTCCATGTCCTTTTCGGAACTTCATACAGTAAGTTTTATATGGACTGCAAATGAACACAAGAGGGCAGCACATGATATGCCAATGAAGTCATGCTAAGACTTTTCCCTTTTTATTGAATTGTATAAATGACTTGTAGTACTATTTTATACCGATAATGAGATTGCGCTTAAACACAAACAGGCATTAACTCTATTAAGAAACAAGCAGAGTTTAATTCCACCCTGAAACGTAAAAGGAAAATATAAAAAAATAGAATTCTCCACAGATTAAATGTTGTTTTGTTTTTTAATTTTACAGCATGGAATAAACCCTTCACTGTTTATTTTGAAGTGCACATAAAGATACATCTTCTGACTCTAAACTGGACAAAGACAGAGAAATGATAAAAAAAACAGGCTTGTTCATTGTGTGATGTGTGATGGCTCTACCTGTTTGATGGTGAAGTCGTTAATTAGGTGGTGGTTGTGCTCATTCAGGCTGCAGTGCAGTGTCACGCAGTCACTGTGAAACAGCAGATCCTGTAAAGTATTCACTCTCTGGAGTCCCAGTGCCCTCTCGATCCCATCAGAGAGGTAGGGGTCATAGAAAATCACACTAAATCCAAATGCTTTGGCTCTCAGCGCTACAGCCTGCCCAACACGCCCTGAACACAGAGAGGGGGAAAAAAAGAAGAGATGGAAAGTGAGAGCAAATATCTTTATTTTCTTTTCAGGAACAACAAGTATTACTCGTGCTATACTGGGCAAATGTCCAAGTCCCCCTTTTCAAAGAGGTAACACTTCAGAATAAGAACATTCTTTAATGTATCTAATTTTCTGTTTAGGAAACCTTTCCCCCCATATTCCAAGAAGAAACAAAAGGGCAATCATTGTCAAAGAAAAGCTTAGTATACCAATCCAAAGGACACAATGCACTTGTTTCTAAAGTTCTGTGTTGACCACATAGCTACTGTTGAACACTTATCAGATCAACTTACTAGGCTGGCGTTTTTTTTTACAAGACATGTAGATGAGGAGAAGAGTGCCCGTTCCCTACTTTAAGTTTGTCCGTAATGCCGAGCAGTACTAAGCACATCCTCGGAGCATAACCTTTAATAGTAGGAAACAATTACTTCTGAACTATTGACGGTAAAACAGATACTGTTTGGGTGCTGTCTATTGTAAAGTATCATTATTGTTTGGTTAAGTATGAAGTATTTTAATTAAGTATACTAATTAACAAAAAACATCCACATACAGTATAACCAAAGTCTCTCCCACCAGCCTTGACTGCTTTTCCCCATATGTTATGCATCATTTCCACATTAGAGACATGTATCAGTTAATGCAATGTAAAGTAAATGCTGCCTCAAGGCCTTTTAAAAAGATGCCCCTGCTGTATGCTCAATCAGTAATTCAGTTTAGTATTATTAATAAATAAATCACTGAGGCCTGGATTTAAATCTCCTACTATTAGCACTGTCAGCAGGATGACTGTCTAACACACACTGGAGGCACAAGAAATTCTAGTGTTTTCCGCACTGCAAGCAAACGAACAAGTGCATATGCCTATGAGATCATTAGAGCATGGAATAAATTTAGATGTGAAACAGTATCTTACAAAAAAACATCATTTTTAAGAGGGGGACAAAGAGATACTGTTGCATTAAGTGGTTACACATTTATGACCCAATTTATCAGGTAAGTTCAATCTAAAGAGATACTCCTAGAACGCTACAGTCTACATAGATTTAATGAAACTATGATACCGAAGATTTTTATTAAAAACACCCACATACAAAATTGGATTTACCTTTTGACTATTGTACTTCAATTCTTAAAAGACCCATTTTGTCACTTCCAGTTTTAAACAGCCAAAAACATAAATCAAATAACCCAGACTTCTTTCTAAACATCTTCACTTCTGCTTGATACTGATTATCCCATCCCCTCTCATCTGAAGATTCTACAGCTCTTCAACATTAGCCATAAACTAAATAATGATACCTCCTGACTGACACAGCTAAACAGAACTCTGGCACTGAGCTTTTTTTTTGTACTGGAATATCAGTTATGAAGGAGGTGTTTAAGCATGGTCTGCTCCACCATGTAACTACTGTATGACATACAGAAACATTGAAGTCTGTTATTGGCTACTCAACCAAAATTAGCATTTCTCATAGCTTTACCAGCAAGTGACGTATCCAGAGCTTGATTTTATGCAATTCCAAATTAAGTTTCTAAACATCTCTACTCTTACAAAACATCAATTGCACAGTTCTTTTCAAATGTGTGATAATGACGTTTTCTAAAGGGGTTTTAAATATTATATATTGACAGCTAGAATATCAGGTGATAAACCTTCCGTTTTAATTCTAATTTTTTAAGCCCTATATAATACATATTTTTGTGAAATAAGTGTTATTAGTTTGATTTTATCCTTTATGACTTTAAGCATTTTTGTAAGAAATTCAATACACTCAAGAGCTTAACTACCTGTAAACTTCTAGGACACTTACACTTCTCACTAAACATCCATTGATGTACTTTATTTTCAGGGGCTTTGAATGGATCATTTTGAACTAGAGCTCACACAGCTTTCACAAATAACCTTTACAAGGCGATGGTTTAAATATGACTGTTTCTCGTACATTATTAAAAAAATGTTCAAAACAATATGCAGCCAAAATTGTACATAAAATAAAAAAAAAATGTAGCAGAAAGGATAAACAGAAGACCAAAAAAGCACAAGAAATTGGATAAAATAAAGAATGTACCTGACCAAGATGGCATGGACAATGGACAATGTAATTAACTGCAATTCTTCATTCAAAAACAACATCTGTAAATGAATCCAGCTAAGTGTTTTTTAAAGGTAACTTTTTAAGGGTAACTCTACTTTTCCAAAACCCCTATTCTCGCAGAAGTAAGGCCTGCCAGCAAAACACACCTTGTCTGGAGATTAACAGCAGCCTGGGAATTGTTCTAGTGGACATGTAGTTTGTGAATTATTTGTACAGCACACCAGTCACATACACACAAGAGAGCTCTAACACATGACAATCCCCCATCATTTATATTGATATTTATATCTATGGTTACATCTATATTTATATTCATACATGTGATACGATTTTCTGTGTACTGTTCTGTTCTAGTTTGCTCTTGTGTGTCCGGACTGTGAGTAACTCTTGTATTGTATTGTATGTATTGTACTATTATTATATAATTCGTTACACTGTGGCTGTGGTGTGTGTGTTAAGCTGCTGTTGCACTGCAATTTCCCTCACGGGATCAATAAAGTATCTATCTATCAAGAATAGAGAGGTACCAATCCTGTCCTGAATACAGAATTTAGAGCAAGAACTGGGCACAACTATCATTACAATTATTATAGTTTCACTATATTTTGTGTAACAATTTAAATCTAATCTAGATTTTTTAAAGAAGAAAAATAGTCCCCAACTCCACCTCTCTGAGGCAGTGAGTACATTTCTTTCAAACACTGGGATGGTCATTAAGTATCACTAAGAAGACGGATATCTCTTGTAAATCAAGATAGGACAGAGAACTAGTCAATAAACTGAAAACACTCCAGATCAGTGAAAGCTTGTGAAGGTAAGGGATAATATTAAGTATCCTTTTAACTTTCCTCCAAATGCCCAATGAATTTAAAATAATTAGGCCCCATCTGATGAGAGCTTCCCCTCCCTTTAGGGGCAAAACCTCTAAGATCCTGGATTTAAATTGGTTTAATTAATGTCTCCTCAATTGTTTGCCATAAGGCTGATGCACTGGAATCCAACCATGTCTCTAATGCGTTCATCTGAAAAGCCCAGTGGTAAGATTTAAAATTAGGTACAGCCAGACCACTGTGAGATTATTATTGTGCTATATAGTTGTCAGCTGAAACTCTGAATGCTTACTTTTCCAAATAAAAATAGTTAAAATTAGTTTGTGGCTTGTGAGAAACAGGGATAAACAAAATTCTTACCATATAATGTAACTTATAAAAAGACCATATAGAAAAATATGCTTTGATTTTGTTCAACACCTGAAACATATTCTTGTTACAGTTAATAGGGAAATTTGGGGAGATATTTAATACCCAAAGAGCCAAACCTTGATTAATAAGAACATTAATTGGAAAGAAGTTTATCCTTGAGGTAAAATTCAAATGCCTAAGGACTGATTTAGATTAATTTATTTAAACTCCACAAAATTTAGTAAAGTTTCTGTAGGAGTACAATGCAATTTAGCTGTACTTCTTTCAATTCTAGAAGTATCTTGTAGAAATAGGAAACCATTATCAGCATAAAGTGATATTTAGATCTATGAATGTGAGCAATTGAGTGTAAACAAAGGCAACATCTTGAGCACAAACTTCAGGGATATTGTATAGAAGACAAGTCATAAATGAATGCCTGAAAGTGAGGTGATCTAGAGCAGCCAATGAGGAACAAAGTAGATAAATTATAATTGATCAAATGCCTTTTCTGCACCTGAATGGGGTTTGCAAGAAGCTAGTTGATGATGGGTTTGGTCTACAATGTGCCACTGTATGTTATCAGTAAATTGACCCCTCAAAAGGCTAATCTGGCATTGGTATATTAAATGGTAGAAACAGTAAATAAATGTACAGTAAATAGTTTTATGTCTGAATTCAACAACAATAATGGTCTCTAGTTACAGCATCCCAACAGAAACTCCATTTATTAAGAAGCAAAATGAGTTTATTTGAAAACAACTGACCTCCAATTAAAATATATCAAATTCCTCTTTTACAGGAAATAATCAATTATCTTCAACTCCCACAGAGCTACAGGATCATCTAAAAGACTAAGCTGAGTCAATTTCAGTGGGTTTAAAAATTCTTTAATCTTTAACAAGTCTGTACAAGCTTTGGAAGCACTGAGATGTGAACAGAAGTCCTGAACCAGAACATTATTATCTTTGATCACCTTAATAGAAGCTAAATGTTCATTTTGCTTTAATTGTAATGCTAGCAACCCATTAAGGTATAAGGTATATCATGAATTCTGCACTAGCAGTGCTGATTTTAAATTAACTTTTCAAAGCAATTTGACAACCCACTGCACTCTCCTGGAAGTTACATTTTTGTTATTTTTCTAACTGAAAGATTATTTCAAAATTGTTCAAAAAATAAAACACTTAACAACTCTCTTTAAAGACTGAGGGTTAAATTTCAGGAGTGAGGTCAGTGTTAAAAAATTACTAAACCTTCAGTGAGGTGCTTTAACATAGTCACATTCTGGAGTACAAATGGGTTAAAATGCTAGCGGTTAACATTTTGTTAATTCCTCTGAAAAATTCAGATATGATAGCAGGGCACGATCGACTATAAGGATGGGAAATTCTCCTGTTGAGACCATGTACTGCTGCAAAGATGGTATCAAGATATAACCAATGTGAGTGTTATCTGCCTATACGAATAAAGTTATTTCTCGGTTGTCAAGAATTACATATTTAAAACCCTTGTAAAAGTCAAAGCATTTGAAGGCAGGGGGAAGGGAGATATCTACTTGAAGAAGTTTTAAATTAAAGTCTCACCCTATAACAAGCACAGATTTCAGACACTGTGAACATAAAAAGAAGGTGAGCACATTGTGATATTGTGAAGTGTTACCATCAATGTTGACAAGTC